CACGTCCTGGGGGCCTGCCACCCAAGCGTCAAAGCTTGGCAGCCCCTCTGTATCCTCCCCTTCTTCCACTATAGCAGGGGGCCACATGGGCAGCCCCTCCTCATTGAGCTCCCATTTCAGCCTCACCTTGGTATCTGCTGGAGGGGCGAGACTCTTCCCTTCGCCATCGATCTCCTCACCCTCGAAGAAGGCCAGCTCGCCGATGGGAAAATCAGCCCGAGCCTGCAACACCTTTCCACGAACCTCGTTGAAAATGTCCGTGGTGGTGTTGGCAGAGGCGACTGTAACAGCATCTTGGAACATCTCTGCTCCCACCAGCCATTCAGCCCCCTGTGCACGGGCAAAGCAGACGTCGCGCTGGTGAAGCCTCCTGGTGCTCTCCAGGGACGCCTCTGCTCGCGCAACGTGCTGATCGGCTTGTGATACCCGCTCCCTCAGGGCGCTCAGCTCGTGCAGAGTCTTCTCTTTTTTAGACTCTGCCTTCCTAGCTCGTTCCTCTGCACGGCTGAGCTCCTCCTTAGCGGCTTGGATGCCACTTTCCTTTTCCACTCAGGCCCTCACGAGCTCATCCTTCAGCTCGTCAACCTTACGGGCCAGTTCGTCAGCTTGGCTTTCAGCTGACGCTGCTCGGTCTGCCATCTCCGAGCTCTGCAGACGACTGACCTCGTCAGCCAAACTGGCTTTTTAAGTGGCCAGTTGTTTGCAGCTTGTTTGGAGCTCGTTGTTTCGTACTCGGGCTCCCTGCTCGCACTCGAACAGCGCGACAGTGTAGCTGAACGCCTACAACACGTGTTCACTCGTCAGTTTATAGCAAAAACATGATAAAATACAGTAATGAGCTTGGCAAGTATACTTACATCCATCAGCTTGATCAATGCAGCATGTCCCCCATGCTGCTAAATGTGCCCCTTCGCACGCAGCCGGTCTGTGGGGGGCACAAAGTTCTGCATACTCTGCAACATGGCAGCATGGCATTCAATTCGTACGTAACTGAAGCCGTCCGCGTATGCAATCCTGGGCCCCGCCACAGATGATGAGGCCGAGGCTTGCTCGGCGACCTCACGAGCGGGAGCTAGGGGCACGTTGCCAGGTCGTGCAGCAACGGCCGGAGCTGGCTGCGAGCCGGCACTTGTCCTCCGCCGGGTAAGAGGAACGTCATCCTCTGCATCGGAATCCTCCCGTACGCGCCTTCTTGCGCTTGAGGGCGCTGGTTCTGCTCGTTGCTCGACATGCGGCCTATGTGCCGAGCTGGAACCCCGGTGCTGGGAGCTGCGCCCCGGTGCAGCTGGTGGCCGCTCGTCAAAGCGAGACTGGCGTTGGGAACCGGACCCAACTCCTCGGTTCCTAGAGCCTTGTGCTCTCTGACGTTGCCTCTCAAGAATGCTGCTCATTTCTCCTGCACAAACAAAAGCATAAGACTCAGATCGGCTAGAAATTATGCTATTATATAAAGATATACCTTGAGAGTGTAGATTTGCCACGTCGACAAATCCGTGAACTGCGATCTGCTCCGAGGTAACCAAGGTTTCCAAATCCACCAACCCCCTCGCTTTCACATAATCGAGCAGCCGGTTCTTCAGGTTGACATCACCACTGGTCAGTTGAGGGTAGTTCATGTATGTGTTCGGCGTACGCCATTTTGATAGACGGGCGGCAAGCTCGTTGTTAATCCTGTCAGTTCGCGTATCTCGCATGAACACGAATTGTCTTTTCCACCTCGCTACCTTATTTCTAATGTTGGTGAAGATCAGCATCTTCTCCCTGCCTGAGATGTAGTACCACCTCGTCCCACTGGTGGACGGGCACAAACGGCACAGGAAGAGCGACCTGAAGACCACCGCCTTTGTAGGCATCCCCAGCCTCTCGCACAACAGCATAAAGCCTATGATGAACTTTATGCTGTTGGGAGTAAGTTGCGAAAGGGCCAGCTCGTACTCTGCCAGGACATCAAAAATTAGTCCGGGCAGAGGAAAACGTAGACCGGCGTCAAAGTGGTCTACGTATCCTGGCACCCAGCCCGTCCATGAAACTGAACATGCCCGTTCATTTGGCGTCCCAGCTCGAATCAAGATGGTCCTGGGGATATGAAATCGCCTCACCATCTCCTCCAGCTTCTTGTACCCTTTCACCGTGGCCGCGCCATCTGCAACCTCATGATGCAGCACCGCCCTGAACTTGAAGCCTGCTGGCAGGGTTTTGGGAGCTTTACGAAGGTTATCCAGCCTCCCACTGAGAACCTTGCTCTCCCACCCTTCGAACACCACTACCTCTGCTGTTGCACTTGTTACAGGCACACTGCAACCAACCTCCTCAACGCCCTTCGCCCCACTAGCAGTCTCTTCCGTGGACGAATCACTAGAGGTTGAAGGCTGGTGGTTCTCAGAACCACCACTTGCGCTCGAACCGGCGTTACTCGCAGGCGCGGCGGTTCTAGGCGAATCCTACAACTCCGGTGGCACAATCATCGCGATAGGCTGCACGGATATCACGTCAACGTCCTCCTCTTCACCTTGGTTACCCCGGAACCTTTGTGCATCGTGGAAAGAAGCCATTTTTACCTGGGTAGTTAAAGGTTAAAGTGCTTGCGCTGGAAGTCTGGAAAAATGGCCGTGAACGTCTCTGTAGTCTTCTCTGAAAACGTACAAATGTGCTTTGCAAGGAAAGGAAAAACAAATGACAAACTGTTGTTTTGTTAAGGCTGTTCAAATGGTGCTCCGTAAACACCGTACGCGTGTTTACGGCCCCCCAGTTAACCGTGCCCACGTGGCAACCGTTTATGGTTTAAAACCCAAAACGCGCCGTTTGCAGCTGTCACGTCTCCTCAAATGCTGAGCCAGCATTTATTGCGGGGAGGCAAAAGGGTATCTGTTAAAAGCAGAAGAATACCAAACGCCCTGAGCAAATCTCCTCAGAGATTTGCCACAATCGTTGAAAAATCTAAAGGATCAGATCGCGACAAACTTCAATGATCAGCTCGTAACAAATTCGCGACTAAGACAAATCTCCTTAGAGATTCGCCATAGTTCAAATTTTGAAAAGTCCAAGGGATCAGCTCGTAACAGATCCGCAAATCCCCTCGGAGATTCGCCATAGTTCAAATTTTGAAAAGTCCAAGGGATCAGCTCGTAACAAATCCGCGATCTCCTCACAGACCAGCCAAAGTTCAAAACTTGAAAATCTCGAAGAGTCAGCTCGTTACTAATCAGAGATCTCTTCAGAGATCCTGAATTCAAAAAACCTCTGAAGGTCAGGTCGCACAAATTATGGATTCACCTCGGTTTGGGGCAGTGAGCGTTAGATCATAACCAACTTCCTTAGAGCTGCTCTGTATCACGGAGGTCTATAGTGAAGTGACGAGTGTGGTCGCTACTCTCTGCCCGTCTAGGGTCAGTGCGTTCAGCCCGTTCACTATCTGCTTACCTCCGCTCGGCCACAATTCATTATGTACGATCACCCTTGCGCGCCTGCCCGACCCTATGATTAGCGTCGAGCTTGACTAGCTTCCACATCAACTCCTTACGCCTGCTCGACAGAAAATCGGCATACACTTGCACGTTCGGCCAGGCATGATGCCTTCAAGCCGCTCAAGTCGGCCGCATATGAAGTCGTTCATAAACATAAAGCGTCACTCCTCGTCCTCGAGGCCGAACACCGGGCTTACAAGGCTCTCCATCCAGTTCGTCAACCGAACGCTGAGGGGGGAGTAATGTTGGGATTAGGCCCATCGCCCACTTCGGGCCACATATAGCAGGCCCAACTATACACCCACAGGCCCAAGATGAGGAAGCATACCCACGTGAGTAGCACCACGTGGGCCAATGAGTCACTTACATGTATGGATGCATGTCAGCATCTGGGGCTATAAATACCCCCCAACCACCAACAGTGAAGGTAATT